CCTTTTAAAAACTGAGATTGTGTTACAAAATGTTGCTTTCTACGCGTGTCCAAATTCACAAACAATGCAAACAATTTTCTGGACGCGTGTCCATTTTATTTAATAACAAAAAATTCACAAAACAATGCAAACAGGATTCTGGGTAAAACGAATTTCCCACCTTCTCACACTGAGTCTCGGGACACATTTTATTTAATAACTTAAAATAATTCTCTTGATAGCACATTTCATAGTGTATGGGATGTTCCTAGTAGGGCGATCTTCTGGACAAATTTTATGCTGATTTTACCTGTGACACTGTTAGTAAAATTGTTCATTCCTTTTCTCACGAGGCCCAGAGCTCCGATTACTATTGGTACAGTCTCAGTCTTCATTCCCCACCTCCTGTTAATCTCGAGATTCAGGTCCTTGTATTTGGACAATTTCTCGATAATTTTTATACAGGCGTTTCTCTCAGATTGTACTGCCATGTCAATAAGGAAACAGTTCCTGAATTTCTTATCTTTTATGATAATATCATGTGTTTTTTTCTTGTAGCTTTTATTTCCCTGTGAGTTTAAATTGGTATGTCCTAGAGGATATTTACATGGTTAGTTTTGGTAATTGCTTCTGATTGGTGCTCATACCATCTCTCAATGGTTTCAATTTCTTGCTTCTTGCATATCTTCCAGTGCACTTATGTCGATACTTTGTTACGTCTGTCGGTATATTCATTTTTTGCTAGTTCTGGGCATCCTGAGATAATATGGTCGACAGTTTCATCATATTTTCCACAGATTCTGCATTTCGGATTTGTTTCATCCTTGATTATCTGACACTGATAGGATCTGATTGCATGGATTTTGTCCTGAGCTGCAATAATTAGGCTTTCTGTCTCGGCGCTCCCCAGCCACTAATGTGATTTTCATCGTTTTTTGTTGGAAGGGTTTCAGCTATAATAAGCTGTTTCTTGAAGAGTACAGCTTCTTAGTTGATGGGGTGAATTTGGTGTTTTCCTATTTCTAGAAGACGGTCACTGATGTTTGTGAGTTATGCTCCCAATTTGTTTGTTGTAGATTTTAGAGTTCAAGTTGGATTAGACATCTTGACATACAGCCTATCAATATCTGATTACGCGTGGTTCATCCTCATTTGGGTAAATATTTTTGTGGTCTTGCCGTCCAATATTTTAATGTCATTCAACATCCATTTAATAATTTTGGAGCTGTATATTACTACGGGTATACATAAGGTTTGATAGTCTTCATTTTATTGACCTCATTATTATCAAACGCAATCTTCTATAATATTCTTTTTGGAATTTTCTTCATAATTGAATGTGGTATTAAGTCTCCTTCATTAATTCCTAAATATTTCTAGGTACCATCTTGTTATAGTTTATTCATCTTGATGTTGATATCAAGGTCTACGTCTATACTTTCGTTTACCGGCTTTGAACATGATTTCGGTACATTTGTGGATTCCGAAATCCATCCTAATATCTTCGCTGAAGATTTTGACAATATGTATGTTAATCTGCTGGTTGTCACCTTTGTCAAACGTTTTCAGACCATCAGTATAGAATAGGTGATTTAGTTCGCCATTCTGTGACTTATATCCATAGCTACTGTTGGTAAGTCGGCAGCTAAGTGGTGCTAATGCAAGGAAGAAAATAAATGGTGACAGTGAATCTTCTTTGAAGATCCCGCTTTTGTTGTTGATTGGTCTCGATGTATAATGACCTGTTTGTAATGGTCTATGATTAGTATAGTATTCCAGTTTTTCATGCTCCCCGTTATGTATTTGACCATTGTGAGGACATAATCTGTATATTTTTAGGCTCGAACGCTTTTCTGTGGTCGATTCAAGATGGTGATTTTACCTCTGTTGTTTTCTGTTTTAATGTCGTTATCTTACGTGATATAATCAGGATAACTGCAGTTGTTTATTTTCTGGAAGATTATAATTTCGTATAAAAAGTGGAATTCACTTACGGAAAGCTGAAATAAAGTTAAACAGACTTAAAATACAATTCTAAACAAAGGGGCTTACATATTGAAACGCGAACACAGAGTGGCATCGGCCAATGTCAAAAATGGTTGAATTGCCAACATCAATAAGAGAGATAATAATCAAACTATATAGGATAGATCACCCCCACAATGCCTTAGAAGTTAGCGGAAGAGTCACTAACGCATTCATTAACAAAAAAATACAATAGATTTTATATTTGGGGTCATTTCTATACCACCCTCATCATACTTAACCTTGAAAAGAATAATAATAATAATAATAATAATAATAATAATAATAATAATAATAATAATAATAAAATGGAAGCGAAAATTGTGGCACATGAGAACATCAAAAATCCCTGTTGTAGTTGGAGCCCTGGGATTGGTTGAAGAAGATTCCAGTAGACTAGTTGATTCCTGGAGGTCCATGCCTCGAGGAAATACAGTGTATTGTTCTCCCAAGTGCCGCCTACACTTTGCGAGGGGCTTTATCTGTGTAATATATATATATATATATATATATATATATATATATATATATATATATATATATATATATTATTATTGTCTGTAGAAAGTGTTATGATGCTATTTCTAACCTTAGGTATCTGGGCGGGACCCGGAAAGAAATGTCTAAACGCCAGAAATCAAAGGAAATAAAAATAATAATAATAATAAATATTTAATCTGAGAGATTTTAAAATTAAGTTAGTTTTAGCTTTTCTTTAGTTATTTTGTATTTAAAAGACTTATCGGTGTATCCACGAAGGATTTTTCCGTAGACATCTTTTAAATAAGCCATATACCCACGTTTCATACTTCACCAATAGCTTCAACGCCACTGTGTTGTTTGGTCTTTATATAATCTGGTAAGATTATATGGAATTGTTTACGAATATAGCATTGTCATAAGCAGTAATTTTTCTCTATTCTAAATCATCCTTTCAAATCGGAATGGATGACAAGGAAGTATTGTCTACAATTGGCGAGGGCGAATTGAGAGCAAAAAAGAGGAAAAGTAATGAGAAAATATGGAATTAAATAAAACACATAAATTGAAAGATTTATAACTAAATATAACAAATGAATTACAAATTGCTATAAAGTGCTGTTTGCTTCAAATGTTAAAAATGTTATATTATTTTGCTAAAAATATAAAAATATTTTGAATGTTGAATAAATACTAACATAATTTCACTTGTCTCTCTCGTGACACTGGCTGGATTTTCGTCACATATTTTCACTATATTTAAACAAAAGGAAAATTCAGTTATATAATATTTTATATTTATTGATTAAATATTGGAATATATTTGTACTATTTTACGAATATAAAATAATATAACAAATTTTAATGATTTTCCCTTCAACAATATTGCTGCCTTGATTATAATTTGCAGAGCTTTGTTACTCTTTCGGGAAATATATTCCATATAACATCAAATATAGTTTTTTTCTAGCGAAAATTGTTTTTGGATTTCACTGAAAATCTTGTGCTGACTTATAGGTATTTCATAAACTAAAAAATCTCTGCCCAAAATATCATATCATTTGTTACACGTTTAACAGATTCATTTGGGAGCAAACGGGATGGATCAAGTCTTAAAAAGAAACCTACTTTTTTATTTATTTCCCTACATACAGTCTCAACATCGAAATAGGATTACGATTTCGTATGCATTTATGCACGAACACATGGATATATATCTGTGTCTAATCTCGCATTGTTTATATGTGTGTTTGTGCGAACTATAATGCGTACACATGTATGTATGTATGTATGTATGACTGCGTGCATATGAGTGTCATCCTAAAAAGGATACAAAGGAGAATCCCCCACCAGCAATAATCAAATACAAACTAACATACATAGATTTAATTTTTAAAAAATAAAACCGTTTTTCTGATGATTGTAAATGCATGAAACCCAGGGTTACAAAGTCATATACATACAACTGAATATATATATATATATATATATATATGTGTGTGTGTGTGTGTGTGTTTGTATCTATATATTATATATACGGTGTGTGAATATATATATATATGTGTGTGTGTGTGTGTGTGTGTGTGTGTTTGTATCTATATATTATATATATGGTGTGTGAATATATATATATATATATATATATATATATATATATATATATATGTGTGTGTGTGTGTGTGTGTGTTTGTATCTATATATTATATATACGGTGTGAATATATATATATATATATATATATATATATATATATATATATATATATATATATATATATATATATTGATTTCTTTCAGGAACGTAACAGAAATGAAACATACTCAGTTGGCTACCGTAAATCATGATTTAACTTTTTCTGTAACAAAAAATATGATTAAATATAAATGGAACGAAAGACAGAAAGATAAATGGCAAGAAGAAAGAACAATTTCAACGTAGAAAATCTGTGTATAAAAAATTCAAATATATAAAATGTTTGTCTATATTTCTGCTATTGTTCTAGTTCCACGTGCCATGCCTCTTCCTCTTTCATTTATTTCCCTTTAGTTACTCAACTGTTCACAGTTTTGTTCTCATCTACTATGGCCATGTATAGAACTCACAACTCTTTGGTTCAAGTTAATGGTTTACTTCAACGAAAGCTTTTATCCCCTGGGCCATATACCCTTGGGGAACAATCCGGTAGATGAAATAATTGGTTCGGTTCGAAAGTTCAATCCCCTGAAGAAGGCAGGGGCGAACAACGACCGAAACATCGTGAATATAACAACAAAGATGAGGACAACGATACAACAAATAAAATTTAAAATGTAATATGTATACTATTTAAATTAGACACAGATTATTATCTGCTTACTGAGTATCTTAAGTTAAATCAGAACTGAAGCGATTTTCATGTAAATGTTAAAATTAGAATATCAGTGAATGAATGAAGCCATAGAAATGTCGAAACAAACAAACCTAAGCGTAAATTTTCCTCTTCTGGAAGCTACAAAAATGTTGAATATTTCCGCCTAATGACATCTCGGCACAACCCCGCCAAATTTACTATCCACCTCCCTCCTCCACCAATTGCCACCTTTGTCTTATTTTTTCTCTTTTTCTTCTCACTTCTTCCTTTCTGCGCTGACATCTATAGTGTGTATCCTTGATATTTTTCAGGACCCTATTCCGTTGTCTTTTGTCTAACTTTCAGAAGACCATCTATCCAACTATTTGCGGAAACCGGATATCTCCGGCCATCGCAAGTAAACTTCACGAGGCAGCAATGTCAGAGAGGCGGAACATCGGCTTGATTTATTCGCCCACAATGACACAGACATTTTTTTTTCTTGAGAACGGAGATACAATAAGAGCTTAACAAATAAACATATACTAAGTGCATTGACGCCTGCCGGACAAACACTGTGAACAAGTTCATCTCGCAGTGCTATGTATAATGAGATCGGTCCTCACTGGACTGAGCACTATCGTCGGTTTTTGCCTTTGAAAGAATATTAACTACAGACATACATGGGTATCATCTGCAAAAATAGGCACGCAAAATGCTAACAAAGTACCCATCTTTCAACTGAAGTACTGAAATTAAGTACTAATATATGTACTTCATTTCAGGACTTCCAAATTATTTGGACAAATATCACTTTTCTTCTTTCCTCTTAGCATTTCATATTTCGATGCATAATCTCTATCTGTAAAAGACAGGATGTGTGTGTGTGTGTAACGAATGAACGGCCGCAATTTTCGACGGATTTGCACCAAAATTTACATGCACATACTCCAAGTTAGCGGGAAGGCCAAAACCGACATTGCATTTCCCAACTCCCATGGTTTGCGCCCATTTTCTACTGGCCAGAGTGAGAGTCAACAGCTGGCTGCCAGGAATAGGCAGGAAGATTCTACTGACCAGCGTGAGAGCCAACAGCTGACTGACATGAATGTTAACTAGCATGCTAGCATGCAAAAAGAAATCGATAGCTGCATTCGTCACAAGTGGGAAAAATTTAAATCTGCATGGCACTTTACTCCAATTGGCTCATTCGCTTGCTTAAACTCAACGTTGATTCTGATTCCGCAGAACTGGCTTGGGTATGAAGAAGTATTTGTTGTTAACATTCTTTTTTTCATTCGGTTTTTCCAGTTACGAGTCCTTTTTTAAAGCTGGTCGTTTTGTGTTCATTTTGTTTAGTTCTTTTTTCGTAACAGATTTAATGTTTAGAGCTTAGAAAATATTTGCAGTGTGAGATACGTAAGAAGTAAGGCACGTAACAACATCAGCACGGCAAAGGGCACTCCTTTAAAGGCAAGGAAGGGCAAAAATATTTTAAGTCAAGTGATAGCGATTGCTGTATGAGTCGTAAGATTTTTTAATCAAGCACGGGCAACGACGGACCATGCTGCTAGTTTAGTAATATTCACAAATATTTTTTGTGTCCTGGTTATAAAGAAAAACTACCTCCGGCAGCAAGGTCTCTCATCGGGATGTTTGGGGAAGCGTAGAACCACCTCTTAATTGCAGTTGTTTCCACGTTCACCCTTATCCAGGGTGGTAGCACCGGTTAGGTCACAGCTATGAACAAACAGTGAAATCCCAAAGTGGAATCAAACATTAAATATAAAGATACATTATAAAAAAATGACCAGCGATACATTATTGAAATAAAATAACAAAGCTCGCAAGAAAATAAAATTTCGGCATTAAATGACCCATATGCCGTTCAACAAACCCATCAAAGGAAGCAAAATCTTTTTTTTTTTTTTTTTTTGTAATAGGAAGACAAATTTCACGCTGTGATTCTTAGCCATTTAATAGCGAGTGAAGTTGATATATTTTGTTCAGGGCCTCGATAAAAAATAAACCTTATATATCATAAATATAGAACGTATGCTAAAATCTGATATGGTAGACCTTAAGGGTCATTTTTTATACATGAATGGAAGATACGAAATATATTGTGCAAAATTGTGGTTACGAAAACAAATAAAAATATTTAAATATACTATTAATGAACTGGACCAAATGAGATGAGGATGGACTTGTAATTATTATATTACACATAAAACCACTCCAACAATTTAGAAAACTAGCATAAAAAAAACAGTTTTTTTTTTTCCGGTGATCTGACTATTGTTCTGTTGTACAGTGGATATATATAGTAAAAGCTGTCACGAAGAAGGCCACCAAGATTATTATAACACAAGTCGTAATTATGTGGAATCCATAATAATCAAACATAAATTCAAAAAACAGACTAGAAGAGAGAAATATACCCAGGAATATTGTACTAGAATCAACGTTCGAATTATTATTTTTTATTTTCTGAGATTGAACACTTATCAAGGGATCAGATAGAACATACAAAAATACCTAAATACAGAAAACCTAAAAACATTTTCTTTTAAGTTTACCAACAATCAAATCAAAAATTCTGAATATATTTTATGCAAAATTGGAAGAATGTATTGGGACAACAGCAAAATAGAATACGGAGCTTCATCAATATTTCCGGGTCCTGGTAATGAAAAAACAACCGGGCCCTGGTAATGAAAAGATAATTCCGGGCCCTGGTAACGAAAACTAATTCCGGGCCTTGGTAATGAAAAAATAATTCCGGGCCCTGGTAATGAAAAAATAATTCCGGGCCTGGGTAATGAAATAAAAAATATCGGGCCCTGGTAATGGAAAAATAATACCAGGCCTGGGTAATGAAAAAAAAATACCGGGCCCTGGTAATGAAAAAATAATTCCGGGCCCTGGTAATGAAAAAATAATACCGGGCCCAAGTAATGAAAAAAAAAAAATTCCGGACGCTGGTAATGAAAAAATATTTTCGGGCCCTGGAAATGAAAAATTAATTCCGTCCTCTGGTAATGAAAAGATAATTTCTGACCCTGGTAATGAAAAAATAATTCCGGTTCCTGGTAATAAAAAAATAATTCCGGGCCCTAGTAATGAAAAAATAATACCGGGCACTGGTAATGAAAAAAAATAATTCCGTGGTAATAAAAAAAATTAATTCCGTCCTCTGGTAATGAAAAAATAATTCCGGGCCCTGGTAATAAAAAATTAATTCCGTCCTCTGGTAATGAAAGATTGATTCCGGACCCTGGCAATGAAAAAAAAATAATTCCGGGCCCTGGTAATGAAAAGATAATAACGGGCACTGGTAATGAAAAATTAATTCCGTCCTCTGGTAATGAAAAACTAATTCCGGGCCCTGGTAATGAAAAATTAATTCTGTCCTCTGGTAATGAAAAGATTATTCCTGACCCTGGCAATGAAAAAATAATTCCGGGCCCTGGTAATGAAAAGATAATAACGGGCACTGGTATGATAAAATGATTCCGGACCCTGGTAATAAAAAAATAATACCGTGCCCTGGTAATGAAAAGATAATAACGGGCCCTGGTAATGAAAAATTAATTCCGTCCTCTGGTAATGAAAAGATAATTCCGTCCTCTGGTAATGGAAAAATAATTCCTGACCCTGGTAATGAAAAATTAATTCCGTCCTCTGGTAATGAAAAGATAATTCCGGACTCTGGAAATGAAAAAATAATTCTGGGCTCTGGTAATTAAAAAAAAAATTGCGGGCCCTGGTAATGAAAAGATAATTCCGGGCCCTGGTAATGAAAAAATAATTCCGGTCCCTGTTATGAAAAAATAATTCTCAATACCAAATATTTATTTCCAACATAATGCCTTTCACTTTCAATCCAACGCTTCATCTTCGATGACAGAAATTAAACTGGGTATGATGAAAATGTCACATTGAAATTCTACTGAATCAGGTTATGGACATTTAGATTTACCCACTAAATATCATTCGCCTAATGTTGAAAGATCTGTTTTTTGTTTTGTTTTGTTTCTTTTTTCAAAATATTAAATTTTCAAAATAATCCCCTTTGACTCACTTAACAAACCCTCTTTTTTTAATCATATTGATATTACATTATTCACTGAAAATTTCCGATCGAATATGGCAATCTTATTCATCGACGCTCCAGTATATTTATGGCTGAGTTGATGCTCCTTCGAATTAGTCGAATTTTTGGCAACAAGATTTCTTTTTCAACACGCAAACGCGTATTGAAATCCCCACAGTATTTAGTATTGTGGAAGTTAACGCTAAAATTTTTTTGTCCAGATTTACAAAAGTTACATTTCGTTCAAGTAAAACCAACTGTACTTTATTCCCCGTTATCTGTTTGTACTTCTCTCCAAAATTTTGGTTTCGATCGGTCAATGTATGTTTATTTTAAAGGGTGTGACGGATGGACGGTCAGAAGTCACAGAATTTTATATATAGATAGATTGCACTTGTCGTTTCTATTTAGATTTTCTACCATTTTTTCTGTATCTTTTTTATACTGAAAAGGTAGGAATGCCCCCAATTCATCGGAGTGCCTTGGTAACTTCCATTTCATTCATCATGCTATCTTTTTTTGCCATGAAATACATACATCATGCCTGAATGCCCTTCCCGTATGAACAGTTTGAGAAGGTTATGTTTTCATGTCAGCATTAATATGCATATTTATAGGCAGAAAATTTTACTCTCTCCGTTACTCCTTGTCTCTCCTATTTTTTTATATTTCGCCTATCTTTCACTATCTTTTATTCCTACTCCAACTATCTCCCTATCTATGTATTTAAAAGTCAATCTCATCCTGTTTTCTAAGCCACTTTCGCTTATATCCGAGATCACGCATACTGACATATACACACAGTACTTAAATACAAAATAAAACACGAATATTGAACATTATAATCAATTGATTCAGCGATTGACGTTTCTTGTTTGTTTGTTGTTATTTTTTTTTACAATTTATCAAACATTTGTGGTTCATTTAAAGCCGGCGCATATATTGGATTGTAGGAATAATTCTTTTATTTTCCTGAGTGAATATTTCATTAGCAGCTATTTTTAGGGTAACAATTATTTTTTTCTTAATAAAGTCATACTATTGATGTTGGATTCATAACTTTCTCAGGGGTATGTGCGAGTAGGAACATTGGATAAACGATTCTTCTTTATAGATATTAGAACAGTAAGAATATTTCTAAAATACATTTTCAAACGTAGTGGATGATTCTAGCATCCGTGAAAATAAGAAGTGTTTTCACACACGGAATATTACAGTGCGTTTGTTACTATATAAACAATAACTGAAGCATTGACTGGAATTCTTATATGCAATGCATCGCTAACGACACTGGAAAAATGGTCGGTCCTTGTAGCGTTCCA